AGCAGAAAATCAACTAAATAAAAAATTAAATGAGGAGAAGAATATTTATTATTAAATGATTTTTGTAAAAAAGAGGGTATAGTCCATGAAGTAACTCCTCCTTATTCACCTGAATCTAACTTGTTTAATTTTTTTTATTCAGTTGATTTTCTGCTTCTGCTTTATACAAAAGAAACTTTTCAAAAGCTTCATCTTTATTTCTCAATAAATATACTTTAGTATATCTTGAAAAATCATCAATAAAAGTGATATAATATTTTTGCCTCCTCTAGTTTGAACTTGTTTTAAATCCCCAAGTTAGTATGAATTAAAGATAATAATTCAGTTTCTCTCTGAGTAGAAAAATGTGGCTTCTTAGTTAATTTAGTTTCTCCACAAACTTCGCATTTGTTAAAATCATTACTTTTAATTCCATGAATTAACCCAAGATTTTGCAATCTCTTTATATATGATTTATGAGCATGTCCTAATCTAGCATGCCATATGTCAAAAGAATCAATCAAGTAAGCAGAAAAAGATACATTTTCATTAATTTCAGCAACACTTAAAACAAACAGACCCTGATTATAATATCCCTTCCCAATGAGAACATTATTCTTAGTCATAACAATCTTGTCAAACTCAAAGGACACTCTAACCCCAGCTTTCCCAAGCAACGCCACAAAGACTAAGTTTGCCCTAACATCAGGGACATACAGAACGTCATTTAGTGCTAAGGTCTTTCCTAATGTGAGTTTTAGTACCAATTTTCTTTTTCCCTGAACCTTAGCAGTTCGAGAGTTGGCAATGTATTAGTGGTGTTCCCCTTCTTCAAAGGAGGTAAACATCTCTCTATTTGCACAAATGTGCTTAGTGGCTCCTGAATCTATCACCTATTTCTTCACATCAGATACAATGAGGGTTTGAGAAACTACTGCAGCTATGACTTCATCATCACTACTATCATTTCCTTCAACCAAATTCACATTTGGTTTAGGAGGATTATCACCCTTTTGAGTAGCCCTTTTCCACACGCAAAACAATTGCTTTTCTTTTGAATTTGGGGTTAGAGTTCTTGGATTTGTAATCACATTTCTTATTTTTATTATTTTTGTTTTTGGGATCATACCTCTTGGAGCGTGGTTTCAATTCCACCAAGTTTGCTTTGGCAGCTATTTCCTTTCTTTTCGTAGCTTGTATAGTCTTTCTGTTTGTGTCTTTAATTATTATGTCAGCAATTAGATCTAACAGGGACAACTGCTTCTGTTTGTGCTTTAATTGTTGTTTGTAGTCACTCCATGTCTCTGGCAGCTTTTCGATCAGTATGCCAGCTACGAATTCATCTGGTAAGTTAATCTTCTCGGCACAAAGCTCCTCTAGCAATTTGTGGTACTCATTGATTTGAAGCTTGATATCTTTCTCTTCAGTCATCTCCCATTTGTAGAAATTCCCCACCACAAATTTTTGCTTCCCAGCATCCTCAGCAGTGTACTTGAGGATAAGAGATTCCCATATTTTGTTTGTTTCATTACAGACAAAGTATATATCGAATAGATCGTTAGATAAAGTGCTGATAAGAGTGTGTCTGCAAACCTTATTAGCATGTGTCCAAATATCTTTCTAGGCCTGATCAGCATCCGGGGTTGATTTGGAATGAGTAAGAGTAGCAGCTACTCCATGCATGTCAAGGACAAAGTAAACTCGCTTCTACCACCGCCTGAAATTCCTTCCATCAAACGTCTCTATTTTTGAAGTGTCAGGAAAAGGCTTAGGAATAGGAACTGCTATTGGAACAACAGTTACTAAGGCAGCATCATGGTCATTTTGAGCAGCAGTGTTGCGGGGTTGTTCCATGATGTGAATAGCTCTTAAGATTGTTGGCGGCAGCACCTGCAAAATAAATAGTTAATCCGAGTCACGTCCTAAGGATGCTGTCCTTAAGAGCTATTCCGTAACTACCAGTAGATAAGAATGCGGCACTTCTCAGGATTAAATAGATTCTTCCTATAAAACAGGGTGAGCAGAACAACAGAAGATAGTAGTAAACTCAGAAAGTAAGAAAATACACAAGAGGGGAAAGAAATGAGCTTGAAAACTCTAGAGCTGTGTATCTTTTGCACCTTGGCTAAAGCCCCTTATATAGGCTCCAAATAAAATGAATGTTGGCACCATAATAGCACAACATTCAATGGTCCGTTTTCCCCATTGAATTCAAATCAATCAAAATTGGGTATATGAATTGATGATAGCATTGTGGAGGTATGGAGGTTTTATAATGTGTTAGAATTGTTTATGATTTAACCGTTGGAGGCAAAGAGATAAAGCGTTCCAGTTGGAAGTTCAAAGTCACCATTTAATATATTAAAGACGTTTAAAGGCTTTCAATGCATTACTCCGTTTTGAATTTCATAATCATCTTTTAATACATTAAAAATGTTTAAAAGCACTAGGATTTAAAACCTTTCAAGGCGTTAGATAATCATAGAAAATTTCTGTTGAATAATTTAAATGCTTCAATGCATTAAAGGATTTTAATGGCCCACTTTTAAATCTCTTAATGTATTGGAAATCCATTTATGACATTAAAACTCTTCTACATTTGATTTCCTATTCATAATATTCATAATAATAATAAGAAAATCTGTCCATGATTAATGCTCAATTTGTTTTCATCTTCCCACATTCCCAATTAATTTAGGATCCTTTCTTTGACACACCCAAAAAATATTACAACTCTTACCCTCTAAGCCACACCCTCTCATTCTACAATGCAACGAACACTTGTGCGGATCAGAGGCTTCTACTGCTACAACTTCATCTTCTTCATCCTCCTCTTCATTTAGCCATAAACTAAGTGACCTTCAGTAAACATGAAGCTGTTGAAAAGTTAGTTCAACTTTCCCTTACTCGAGAAGTCCTTGTCCAACAGTGTCAAGAAAATTGGGTTGAAAAGATCTTGGATAGATCTCTCAGGCTCTTGGATGCGTGCACCACAGCCAAAGATGCACTATTGCATACAAAGGAGTGTGCAAGGGAGGTTCAATCAATCATGAGAACAAAAAAAGGAGGAGAAATGGAGGTCACGGTAGAGGTCAGAAAATAGTTAACCTCCAGGAAGGTAGTCAAAAAGGCAATCTCCAAAGCCTTGGGAAATCTGAAGGGTAATAAGAGCAAGTTTTCTCCTTCTCACAAGAGTCATCAAACTCCAGAATTGGGGAGCCTATTTAAAGATTTGGAGACAGTCACTCCTCAGATTTTGGAGTCATTGTTGAGTTTTATATCTGTGGCAACACAATCAAAGCCAAGCAACTGGTCTTTGGTCCCCAAGCTAATGCACAACAAAAGGGTTTCTTGCACACAAGATGCAAATGAGAATGAATTTGCCAAAGTAGATTCTGCATTAGAAATTTTTGTATTTCACACAGCAAAGTCAGAGAATATTGATAATTTGCAGAGCCAGTTGGAAGATTTGGAGTTGGTGATTCAAGACTTTGTGGAAGGACTCGAGACCCTTTTCAAGAGATTTATCAAAACTAGAGTTGCCCTCCTTAACATTCTCAATCACTAGTTGCGCAAATTGGTCACATAAAGTTTTGCAAATTTGACCAAATTAGCTTTTCACTTTCACTTGTACATGCAGAAACACTGAAGTTCTTACTCTTACTTAACATTTGATTGTCATGTAATTTTCTATTCTCTGAATATTTGTTGTTAATTATCTCTCCCTTTGATCAGTTACATTTGTGCCATGTGATTAAGTTTGTCGATTTGATGATATTGTTTCAAAACTGACCTCATGTCCTACAACACAAAATTTTACTTTGAAACCGATATACTATTTATCCCAAGCTTAGTAAAATATAAAATTTAAAAAACCATTTCAAGTTATGATGTACACAAAACTTAAGTCATTGACTCCCGGATATAGTAAATGTCTAAAGTTCTCGGTAGACAAGCCCATGGCATGTAACATGTCAATCTTGCAAGTGATATATATCCAAACTTACCCCAAATCAAATACAGTACAAAGAAAAGAAATAAAAAAAGAGAATAAAGAATAAACAAATAAAATTTACCGGGGAGACTTTATCTAAGATGAAAATATAGAACATGTGTGTGTTGTGAAAATTTCAATATTCAAGTAGTTCAAAAAGTAAAAAAATTTCTCTTGTTCATTTTAATTTTAATTTTTTACCGAAAAAGGGATGCAATAGCAAAAAAATAGAGGTGTGGTTGTATTCTTTTAGCTATGATGTTCTAAGAAAGTTAATTGGTCTCTAATCTTGATGCAGATGAACAAATAATGTCAGACATATTAATACTGTTTCATAAACAGGAACACTATAGCTAAGGACTTCATTTTTTTCCCCTTCACATTTGCAATAATCTTATCTGCATTCTATTTATAATCTACCTTGCAAGCGTGGCATTTCATGTCTTTCTCTATTTAATTCATATGATGATCTGTTGCACATGTTGCCAAATAATCTTTGGCATTATTGTTAGATTTGTTTACAAAAAACCGTGAAGTCTTTCCATTATTACATATAAACTACTAGTTAGTTGCATGTTGACTTGTAAACGAAGGCAATAAACTGCGCATTGTTCAACACAATTATAGCACGTCATATTTGAACCAATTGCTCAAGCATGTGTTGGCAATAAAAGTTTATATGGATGCTTTGGTTCCATTTGATTTGAATTGAATGATTGAACTCCATGTATTTCTGGTAGAAATGAATCCGTGTTTATAAACTTAAAATTACATAGTATATTTAGAGGTTGACCAAGAAAATTAACATGCAATTATTCCGTTTTTCATTAACAGGGAACAAAAATGGAGAACTAGTATTTGCAAGATCGGAAAGAAGAAAGATGATCAAAAAGCTATAACGTGATACCAAGATAACATATGCTCAGTGGAAGAATAGTGTTATTAATCACATTCACGTACAAGTATGAGACACTCATGGGGAAAATTGAATTTGAGTGTCCGAGGTTATCCTAAATACTTTGTGCAACTAGTTATTGAAGATGCTGAGAAGGGAAACTCTGGTTTTGATAAGTTTCCTTGAAAGGCATTCAACTCCTATTGTTAGATCTTGAATGCACATCTCCAGATTTTCTAAATCGCCTTCAAAATTGTGGGTGGACGGATGCTTTTGACTAATGAGAGACTTCAAAGCTGCATCTACCTTCTCAAATTCATTTGTGCCAATTTCTTGAGAGTCACAAGCTACTCTTTTTGGCTTCATCAACTGGGAAATTGCAGACCATTTGCTTCGTTTTGATTGTCCCTTTGGATCGGAGATGAAGTACAGTAAAGATTCTAATGTGCTCATGGTGGCTGCTTCTGCTTCTTTCAACAAGCTAAGCATGTCATTTTCTTTGTTTGCAGAAGAAACTATAGGGTAATTTCTTAATCCTTTGATATTTCCTAAGGCCTTTTGAATTGCTTTTTTCACATTCTTCCTGGAAGCCAAATAATTTCCAGCCCCATCTGTGGATGCAGCTTCAGCTCCTCTTCTTCTAATGGTTGACTGAATTTCATACACGGACTCCTTTGACCGCATAAGACAATCTTTAGCGGTACTACAGATATCCAAGAGCCTTAGAGACCCATCTAGTAGTTCATCAACCCACTTTTGGCTGCAATCTTTTGCTAAGACTTGTTGGGTGGTTGACAGTTGAAGCAACTTGTCAGAAGAGTCCTGTAAATCCTGCAAGCCACTGAGTTTGTGGCTTAAAGAGGATGAAGAAGAGGCAGAATCAGAAGACTTCAATCTGTTCAGGTGCTCCTCAAATTGTGATACAAGGGGGTGAGGTGCACTAGGAAAGCTATTAGAGCGTATATGCAGAGAGATGTTTGGGTTTGAGTCAATGGCTGCCATTTTATTTTCTGAGAAAATAGAAGGCTTAGAAATGAGAAGTGCGATTTCTTCTAAACTTGAGTTTCAGTTGAGTGCACATTCTTCTTATATAGCCAAAGAATAGAGAGAGACAAGAAAGATATTTTTCTTTCCACATGTGGGCATGAAATAATATCATATTAACACGATTCTTTGTGCTTCCAGATAAATTTACAGAAGGGAAAATATTTCTTAAGAGAGGCGCACAGTGCTCTGCCTTTTACATTCATTAAATAGGTAGGGTGAGGAACCCTAGAATTTACAATACACTGACACGTATACACTGTAAAGGCTGTACAAAAGAATAGTCTAGAATATCTACTAAAGTGTCACTAGCTTGTTGGACTTTACACTTATGGACTTTATACCATTGGGCCTTATATTATTGGGCTTAGTCTTAACATTCCCCCTCAAACTAGGGCTAGGTGAAATGACAAGCCCTAGTTTGTTCCTGAAGGCCCAAAACTTGGAGTGAGACAAGGCCTTCGTGAAGCAATCGGCGAGCTGGTCTGAAGAGGGAACATAACGCACTGAAAGCTTCCTGTCAAGAACCCGGTCTCGCAAGAAATGAACATCAAGCTCAATGTGTTTAGAGCGTGCATGATAGACCGGATTAGATGCTAAAGCTGAAGCACTAAGATTGTCACACCAAGCAACTGGTGGGGTTCTGAATTCGACTCCCAACTCTCCAATTAGGGATTGAAGCCAAGCTAATTCTGCAGCAAGGTTTGCTAATGCTCTGTATTCAGACTCAGCACTGGAACGGGAGACTACATTCTGCTTTTTCGCTGACCAAGAGATTAGTGTGTCTCCAAGAAACACACAGTAACCTCCAATTGAACGGCGGTCATCAGGACAGACGGCCCAATCCGCATCTGAGAAACCTTGAAGATTAAGATGCATGCTAGGACGAACATGAAGAGCCAGATTAGTGGTTCCTTTAAGGTAACGAAAGATTCTTTTAAGTGCTTGCCAGTGAACCTCTGTGGGAGCTGAAAGAAATTGGCTTAATTTGTTCACAGCAAATATGATGTCCGGTCTAGTATTATTTAGGTATTGCAGAGCTCCAATTGCTTTTCTGTATACCGTAGGATTCTTCAGAGGTGTCCCTTCATCTTTAGAGTAATTTCGATTGACCACCATGGGTGTAGGAACAGAAGAACAATTTGTCATGCCAAACTTGTCTAGCATGTTCAGGATGTAGCGTTCCTGTTTGAGATAGAGGCCAGTAACATCTCTGTAGGCTTCAATTCCTAAGAAATGATGTAGATGTCCGAGATCCTTAAGTGCAAAATGAGTGTTGAGTTGTTTAATAAACATCTCCATGATTGCAGTAGAATTTCCAGTCACAACAATATCATCAACATATATGAGTACAAAGAGAACAAACCTCTTTCCTCTAATGAAAAATAGTGAAGTATCGGACCTGGAGTTAGTAAATCCCCAGCTAAGTAAAGTAGATCGCAGTTTGTCAAACCAAGCCCTCGGGGCTTGTTTCAATCCATATAGAGCTTTATTCAGTAAGCACACATAATTAGGGAACTTGATTGATTCGAACCCTTCTGGTTGTTTCATCAAGACTTGTTCCTCTAAATCACCATTCAAGAAGGCATTATTGATGTCTAGCTGTTTGATTGGCCAGCCAAAAGACACGGCTAAAGTTAGTACAAATCTCAATGTAGAGGTCTTCAAAACAGGACTGAAAGTCTCATAGAAGTCAACTCCATGACTTTGTTGAAAACCTTTGGCAACTAGTCTTGCCTTAGGCTTCAAAACTGAGCCATTTGCACTTGTCTTAACTTTGAATACCCACTTGCAATCTACCACTTTTCTATTGCCTTGATAGGGAACTAATCTCCAAGTGTTATTTCTGATGAGTGCACCATATTCATCTCGCATAGCTTTCATCCAATGTTGAGACTGTAAGGCTTCTTTTATGTTTGTAGGTTCAACAAGTGAAATATCTGTAGTAGCTGTTCCCACAAAAGGATGTTTAGGTTTATGAATACCCACTTTGCTTCTTGTTATCATATGATGTTGTGTTGGAACAATTGCTGTCTCTTGAATGGATGGTAGACCTTGAGAGCTAGGACTCTCTAAAGATTGAGAGAGTTGTTGTTCATTCACTGAACTAGAGAGATTTTGCTCAACAGATTTCGATTGTGCAGGTTCAGCAGAAGCATGATCAGGAGAAGCTGGAATTGGAAGAGCAGACGGTTCAGAAATTTGAACATTTGATCTGGGAGTGGATGAGTTTTGAACAGGACACTCCTTAGGCAGAGATGAAAGTGAGGAACTGAAAAATTCCCTTGGATGTATCAACTCCTCAGGTACTTTCTGTTTATTCATGAAACCTGTTGCAAAAGGAAAATCATGCTCATTAAAAACCACATGACGAGAGATATATATCCTCCCATTTGAATTCAAACACTTGTAGCCTTTATGTGAATTGCTGTAACCAATAAAAACACACTTTGTAGTTCTGAATTGGAGTTTGTGGTCGTTAAATGGCCTGAGACAAGGAAAACATGCTGTACCAAATATTTTCAGATTCTCATAATCAGGAACTTTGCAAAATAGTCTAAGATAGGGTGAGCCACCACCTAAAACAGGAGTAGGAAGCCTGTTAATAAGTACAGTGGCTGTGTGAAAAGCCTCCCACCAATAAAATAATGGCATTTTTGCTTGAGCAAGTAAGGTCAAACCAGTCTCCACAATGTGTCTATGTTTTCTTTCAGCCCTGCCATTTTGTGGAGAAGTATGTGGGCAAGAGTGCCGAAAATGTATTCCAGAATCTTGTAAGGTTTTAGCAAAAGCCCTATATTCTCCACCCCAATCACTTTGCACTATCTTAATGCTACCTTCAAATTGTTTTTCAGCATAGTTTTTGAACTGAACAAAAGCTTGCAGAGCCTCATCTTTTGACTTTAGAGGAAAAATCCATGAATATCTACTATAATCATCAAGAAATAGAATATAGTACTTATAGCCATTCATGGAAACAATCGGTGCTGGCCCCCAAAGATCTGTGTGAATTAATTCTAGAGGTTTTGAGGCTCGTGAATGTGAAACCTTAAAAGGTAAAGAATGTGATTTACCATATTTGCAAGATTCACAAAAAAGATGCTCATTATCATTACTGGGATTAACTTTCAGATTACATTCACTGATGAGCTGATTCAAAATCCTATTACTTGGATGACCAAGTCTACAATGCCAAAAATTCCTACTAAAACTATTAGTTCTTAGTGCTGAACTGTCAGCTTCTTTGTCTGCAGTAAAGGCTAGAGCTGTACTACTATCTTGTTTCTGACTGGAAATTCTGAACATACCACCATTACTCGGTTTTCCCTGCAGCATTGTTTCCCCTGTTGCCTGATCCTTCACATAAACACCATTTGCATTAAATATCACATTAGCATCATTGTCATAAGCTACTTTGTAGACACTTAGGAGATTTTTCTTAATCTCAGGAGTATAAAGAACACTTTTCAGTTTAACCTTCTTATGAGAAGCATTCTGAATAGTAGAAGAGCCTATTTTTTTAACTCTCAATTTGTAACCATCACCAACTACTATATTCATCTTACCAGAAGGAGCAATTGGGTCATCAAGTTTGGCAAGATCCTTGGTGACATGACTGGTTGCACCGCTGTCCAAATACCAAGCATCATCATTCACGGTCTCAGGAGTTGCCCAATAGGCACTGTCAAAATCAGAGAATGAGTTTGAGCCTCTGTTTCCTTCATCCTTTCTGGTTCCAGGCTTGCTGAATGATTTGTCAAATCGGTAGAAACAGTGTTCCACAGAATGTCCAACCTTTTCACACAACTGGCACTTCAGTGGCCCATTCTCATAGCTATTGCTCCAGCGTCCACGTGAGCGGTTGCCACTTCTTCCACGACCTCTTCTTCCGCGAGTTGCACGAGCTCCACGCCAGGTATTCCTTGAGCTGTACTCTTCTGTTCTAGCATAGTTGATCAGGTTTGTGTTGATAGAAAGCTGAGAAAACTGATTAAGCTGATCCATTCGACTCTCATAGGTGTAAAGGGAAGTCTGCATATCAAGCCAGCTGAGTTCTTCAGCTTGGTGGGACAACTGAACCACAATAGGGTTGTACTCAGCATCAAGACCTGCTAGAGCCTGGATAATAAGATCTGGAAGTGGAAGAGGACTCCCAACAATAGAGAGTTGATCAGCTAGACTCTTCATCTTGGACAGATATTCGCTCATCCTCATAGCACCTTTCCTTGTTCGCTGCAACTCAGATCTCAGCATTAAAAGTCTTGATTTAGTTCGTGCTCCAGCCGTTTGTTTAGCAGCAAGCCATAGGCCAGCAGATGTTGACACACTAGTCATTTCAGATGAGATTTCTAGTGTCATTGTGTTTAGAAGCCAGCCAAACAGTAGCTGGTCGACGGCTTCCCATTCTTCAAACTCAGGATTAAGCTTGGTGGCATTTCCTTCAGTAATGAACTGAGCAGGACACTTCTTTGTCCCATTAATATAACCCTCTAGCTTGTGGCCCTTGATAATGGGTAAGACATGAAGAACCCAAACAGGATAATTTGTTCTGTCCAGCTTGACAGAACAACTTTGTGAAAGAGAGTTGTTTTTCTCAGAAAATTTGGCCAGTAATGATGCAGACACAGAGGAGGTTTCACTCGTGTTTATGGATGACTGTGAGGTAGGTGTGTCATTGGGAGTCGTCATGGTTGTTTGCCTTATACAGGCTCTGATACCAAGATAAATTTTACAGAAGGGAAAATATTTCTTAAGAGAGGCGCACAGTGCTCTGCCTTTTACATTCATTAAATAGGTAGGGTGAGGAACCCTAGAATTTACAATACACTGACACGTATACACTGTAAAGGCTGTACAAAAGAATAGTCTAGAATATCTACTAAAGTGTCACTAGCTTGTTGGACTTTACACTTATGGACTTTATACCATTGGGCCTTATATTATTGGGCTTAGTCTTAACACTTCCATGGCACTGTTTGCTCAATGCTTCCCGCACAGCAAACCTACCAACTCATCCATCAGTTTTTGGATTGGGAATCGGACGAATCCTTGTGCTGTAGATGGATTCCTCGGCAATGTCTCCTCTCTCTCAACCAAAACTTTGTGTTCCAACAAGACGTACCATTGAAGTGAGCATCATATATGGATCTTCTGTCTATGGGATGGGCTGTTTCTCTCATTAAACAATCTTTATTCAACGAACTTCGAATGCATGGCAGTGCCAACAACTATGGTTTAACAAAAATAAGAATCTAAATCTTCAGAGATTAAAGGGTCATAAATGGACAGCAATGTTTACCCAGTTTTTTCGATTCAGTGTCCATTAATTAAAGTGGTTGGTCATAAACAGGAGGCTGGCACTGTTCCACTTTCGGTTTCAATATAATCTTTGCCATACTAGGATGGAACATAGTCATTATAATATATTGCTAGAGAAATAGAGGAATGAAACTCTTAAAACGCATGCAGATTACCGAAAATGAACAAGTTCCAATATTGGGTATTATGATGCTACTAACAAGGGAGACAAATTATCACAGGCTAACATGCTTCTGTTGGAGCTATTCTGTCCAACTATTCATCTTATATGTCTGTTTATTAAAAAAAAAAAAGAAGTAAAGAAACAGAAAAAAAGGGGGGATACACAAGCGCTATAAAGAGCAAAGAAACCATCAAAAGAAGTGACAGAAATCATGGCCTAGCTTTGACCTTTACATATTCATGTTTCTGAATTCTGATGGCATGCAGAAAGGGCTGTAAGCGCAGCTGCTATTGCTTTTTGTACAGATTTTGAGGTACTTCGACCCTTTAAGAACTATTTTGCCTTTTCTGCTATGGCTTCTAATCATCCTCTATCTTATGAATTTTAGTAATTTATAATGGTGGAGAAGACTAGAGAGTCTCAGTACTCTTAAGATTTGGATTTCATCATTGATCAGGAAGGAGTCTCTTATTATGAGAGGTGATTTCTTAAGCATTCTCTTGGTGAATTTTGCAATTCCACATATTTCATGACTTGAATGACATTTCTTGAATATAGGTAGTGGCCTCAATCTGAAAAAATGGAGCTTGGATAATTATCATATGCTAATGCTGTTGCCAATGGTGCCTCTGTAAAATATCCCCTGGTGCCTGCTTCTAAATCCTGAGAGGAGACGCGTGTGAAGAACACTGAAACTCTAGATGCTGAAAGGGAAGGGGAGGATGTCCTAGTTAAGAAAGATTACGTGATGAATGAGAATTGGGGGAACAAGAGTAATTTATAAGTGAATGAGATGTAGCCAGGACATGCAAGTAATTATAGAATATGAACGAGTATATTCAAAAGTGTTAAGTTTACAGAAGAATAATATCATGAATTTAGGTAAAAGAAGGAGATACATAGGCTTGTGAAATTGTCAAGGAGGATCAGGAGGCTCGTTACAATGTGAATGTTTTCAGGATGCCAAAAGCATATAATCATGAAGGGCAATGAGGCTTTCAATCATAATAAGTGATTGGCTCCACATCTCTGACAGTATATAGAGATCCAATGCTGAAGATGAATGCGTTAACAGAACAAGAACCATGGGAGGAAAATCAAGTTGTGTGGAAATCTAGGATACGATGTCAACTTCCCCATTCGTTTGGCGGATTAAACATCAGAGAAAACTGTTCTAAATTATATGATAGAGGAACTGCTATTGTGATAAATGCTTTGCGAACCTGATATGGCAAGCCACAGCATTTGTGATGCTAGATAAGACTAACGAAAGACCACTCTCACCCGTTTTCAGTTGTCTTGACTTGCTACTCTTGGCTGCCATACTTGAGGGGGGGGGGGGAATCTCTGCCTGTGTTGGTCTTGCTCCAATAAGTTGAAACACACTGTACTAAATTACTAATGAACCAAGAGCTGACTTAGTATACGTACTGTCAAGTGCACATACTGTCATTGAAAAAAGACTGTGAATATATGCTGAAGCATTGAACTATGTAATTAACAAACAAGGGAAATAGAATTTTGAAAAAAGTTGGCCATTCTGACACTATACTTCACATCATTTTTTATGCTATTGAAGAAATGTTAAGATGAATAACTTGCAGGTGAACAGTATCAGAAAAAGATGATATAAAACTCATTTCCTGTGCTTTTCTACCACTCACCATCATCCAAAGGAAGAACTGTAATTAATAGTGATTAGAAATCTCCAATTCGGTGTTTGACTTGAAAATCTAAGAACGGAAATTGGGTTAAACAGATATATTGGAAGACAAGAAATTTCATATCATGCATATGGGTGAAGGTTAACTAACTAAGATTCAGATGAACATAATCTGAAAAATGTTAATACGATGTCTCTTGTTAAGGAACACTCCAACTCAGAATCCTATATTTCTCTTCACACTTACAACAAATGATATGTATTCTCATTATATTAATTGCCCTATGCAAGAGTGCCATGAAAACCACCATGTTACCCATGGCAATTATAGCACATAAAACTTGAATTAAGAACACACATGTGCGGGAAACAATATATGATATGGATGCTTTGATTCCATCAGACTCTATTGATTGTATACCATGTGCCATGTGGGTTTAGCACAAACCATGGCTTTCATTTCGTATCTTCAACTCTTGCTCTTCTTAACCCATCTATCTGTCAAAACCATGTTGGTAAAAGAAGACATTATATTAATCTAAAATTGGTTTTTCTGGGTTAAGTTAAAGCAGATGTTCAAATAGCCACGAAGTGATACCAAGATAATATATACTCAGTAAAAGAACAATATTATTGGTCCCATTCATGTACAATGATGAGACACCCACGGGGAAAAATTGGAGTTGGGTGTCAAGGGTAGCTTAATATATTTTTTTTTTCCATACTAGTGATTAAAGATATTGAGAAGGGAAACTCTGTATCTGGTTGCCTTGAGAGGTGCTTAGCTCCATTTCTAGATCATGATTGCTCATCTTCAAATCCTCCAAATTTCTTTGGGAATTGTTTGTAGATGGATGCTTGTAACTGATGAGAGACTTCAGAGCTTCATCTACCTCAACAAATTCGTTTGTGACTGATTATTCAGAATCACAAACTTTTGTTTTCCGCTGAATCAAATTGGAGACTGTTGCCCATCTGCTTTGCTTTGATTGCCCTTTTGGATGAGAGATGAAGTACTCATTCTTCAATTTTTAACTTGGGAATCACACGAGTTCTCCTGCAATGGCATCTTTCACAGATGGTATTCCTCTTACATGTCTCCTGCATCTTAAAAACCCTCTGCAAAACCCAAACTTTTAAATGCCACGTGGGCAAGCCGTTATATTTAGCATTAATGAGATACTATGTCAAGAGAAAGAAGATCAGTTTCTGTCTTATTAACCACTTGGATTATGAATTTTTCTTCTTACTTCACTGCAATTTGTTCTTCTCGAGGAACATTTTCATATTCACATCACTATGGTTGATCATTTTTTGATGGTGATGTTCATGCACTGTTTCTCACGTAATATCAAATGATTGGTGTTCAAGCCAAATCGCATGGTACCCTGCTTTACTTAAAATCACAAAGATTAAACTTCATCCATTGTTGTTCCCCGTACAATTTGCGTAATTAAATATTACTACTACTACTACATATCCATCAGAACCTATAAACAATAAAGTTACAAAAAGCTTGAGGATTTCGAAAATCCTGTTATTGATTATTCAGAGCTAACAAAGTAATAGGTTATTGGCTTTTGGAGCAACCTTCATGAATTCTCGTTGCCTTTTTTATTAAAACTTTCAATCTTGATCATTAAGTTTTTTAGTAAGACAATCAATTTCTATTTCAACAAATAGATCTAGTACAGTTTCTCTTTCTACAATGGCATGCGTGAAAATAATTTACATGCCTTTACAAAACTCTAATGCCCTCCTTTAATACATTCAACTAGGAATTAAGGATGTTGAGAAGGGCAACTCTAATTTTGATCAAACGCCTGAAAAGTGACTCAAGTCCTTCTTCAAGGTCTTGGATGCAAGCTTCCAATTTTTCCAACTTATTTTGCAGATCATTTGTGTTGTTTGACTTGCTTGTCATGCTAAATATAAAGTACTGTAATGCAGAATCCACTTTTGCAAACTCATTCTTATCTTCTCCTCCTTGTGCAGAAGCTACCCTTTTGCTGTGCATTAGCTTTGAAACCAAAGACCAGCTGCTTGGTTTTGGTTGTGTTGAACCTGAAATGAAGTTCAACAAAGACCCAAATATCGAAAGAGTGACCACTTCACCTTCCTTTAACAAGCTAACTAAGGTCATGGTTTGATAGTCTTTGTTTGTATCAGATAGGCTGCATTTATTTGCAGAAACTCCCTTTAGATTCTCCAGGGCTTTGAAGATTGCTTTCCTCACTACCTTCCTTGAGGTCAAGAATTTCTTAATCTCAGTTGCGAGTTCCACATCATTTCCTCTTCTCCTTCTTCTTATAATTGATTGAAGTTCCCGAGTGCACTCTTTCGTGTGCAGCAAGGCATCTTTTGCTGAGGTACATGCGTCTAGGACCCTTAGAGATCCATCCAATAACTCATTTAACCATTTCTCTTGATGTTCCCGGACAAGTGCTTCTTGAGTAAGGGGGAGTTGGACTAATTTCTCAATAGAATCATGCAAGTCCTGAAGGTTATTGAGTTTCAAGCTCAGCAGTGAAGAAGAAAGAGTGGCGTCTGAGGCCCCAAAACGAGACAAGTGTTCATTGCATTGTAGAACCACGGGGTGAGGTTTTAAAGGCAAACTGTTAGAACGAATATGGTTGTGGGATTTTTGGTTTAATGGAGAGGCTGACATTTTTCTGAAGAGAATAGAATGGTATTGAAATTGAAAATGTTGAATTGAAGCACCACTTTGCCTTTCTCTGCTGGAAATGGCTGTGTGTGTGTGTGTGTGTGTGTATTAAAAAGCACAGGATACTTCAATATTGCTAACAACCTAGATCGATCTAGGCACAACCACGGATTTGGCATGCAATGTCTCTTTAGCATAATCTCTCATCATAATCTCTACAGCTCATAACCCGAGTTTTAAATTTATTTTTCCTTCCTTCTTTTCTCTCACTTCTATGATCATATAAGGCCTGCTTTTCAAGTTGATACGTTGTATCTTTATACTTTAATAAACATTGCACGAGGGACAATGACATTTCTTTGTTGGTTGCTGCTAATAATTTAAGATAGCGCCTTCTATAGAATTTCCTTTCTCCTAACTCTTTGATTAATTTTAGTATTTTATTGTGTTTTAGACCCACTAACATGGGAATGGAAGCAAATATAAATGCAGATGCGGGGAATCAACACAAGATATGGATTTCAATAATCATTCTTCTCATCCTTATCTGTACAACCAGTTCAATTCCAAAACATTCAAGTTATCCAACAAAAAACTTAGAATTTCATCCACATACATTACAGTTATGTGCAATTGAAGTAACGAATTTCATCAACTCATTATGCGTTTGACATCCCCATGTTTTTTGCATTAATGTTATGCCTCTAAATTCTGTGTTTGAACTTGTTTTGTGAAGTTTCTAACTTGTTTTGGAGAAGAAACAAGGGATCATTAAAACAATAGACTTACCATTGAAGTATCGAACTCACCAGAGGGAATTATAGGTTGCATGCATGTCCAGCCACCACTTGTAAGCCTAATCTAAAATTCTTCCAGACATTGATATACAGATTTACATATGAAAGTGAATTACAAATGATTTAGTGAATCACTCATTAATTAGGATAGAAACCAATTACATGAGTCATCTTGTTCATTCATGGCACTTTTTAACGAAACCCGAACTCCACAGATTTCTTAATCTGATCCTCCCCCCCTTTTTTACTTTTGAGTATTGCATTTTAGTCTTAGATTCAAATTCTATTTCATTTAATTTAGCGATGTTTTCAGAATGACAAAAATATTTACATCATGATATTTGATTTACCTTTCTCATGAGGTGACACCCTCCTTATTTTTATATTTTCTATATAACTCATAATGTCATGCGTCTGCTTGTATCTTTTGTAATGCAGGAAGATGGCATGCGGAAATCAGATACTGATTCGCTTGTCCTTATAACCCAAAGACAAGAAGCACATTGTTCATTGAATTCGGCCTCTGAAAGTTGAGCCCATGACTTATAATTGAGACCAATAATTGGTTTTTTTTCATAATGGTTCATCTATCATAGCTGTGGAAGTTGTGATTAACACACCGACTCAATGCATCATATGAGTTTAAAACTTGAAATCTGAGTAGCCGATGGTTGGCAAATCATAATTCCTATAAATATCAATATGTGAATTTCACAATATCTTCATATTCAGATAAGAAAATAATAAAGATTATTGACCATAGTTTCCACATTATTGCTCCAACTTAGCATGCTAATAATGAGCCTCTCAAACAATAATGTCTGGTAAATTTTCTGTGCCCCAAATCTTCTTTTTCTTCTACTTATTTTGCGGTGAGAATTGAAATAATTTCTGGGATGCGGCATAGAAGCTATTTGTGGAAGAAGGAATAAGGGGGAAAAATAGTCATATTTGGATTTATGCGTGTGTGTGTGTGTGTGTGTGTGTGTGTATTCAACACTGACAAAATTGTTTAGTTACGTCGACAAACAAGTATGGAAATCTCACATCAAAATCAGTATTTGATGGGGATATTCAGAAGAGAAACTCTTGTTCTAATCAAATGCCTTTGAAGGTGTTCAATGCCTCCCTCTAAAACCTCAATACACAACTCCAAATTTTCCATGTGATTCAGAAAATCCTCAACTAATATACCAGTTTGAGGCTTGTGAGATAGGAGAGACTGCAATGTTTCGTCCACCTTTTCAAATTCATTTGTGTTTGAATTTGCTGAGTCACAAGCTACTCTTTTAGGCTGCACCAACATGGAAACCATTGGCCATCTTCTCTGCTTTGGTTGTATCTTCGAGCCAGAGACAAAATATAGAAGAGATTCTAGCAAGGTGAGAGTGACAACTTCTGCTTCTTTTAAGCTGCTAATCATAGACAAAGACTCAGTACCTATGTCTGAGGAATTTTCCTTCTTAAATTTCTTCAGAATTTCTACTGCCTTCTTGATTGCTTTCTTCATATTTTTCCTTGATGATAAGTATTTTCCAGCATCAATTGTGAGTGCTGCTTCTCCAACTGTTCTCTTCCTGCGAGCTGCTGACTGAAGTTCATGTAAGCTTTCCTTTGATTGTAGCAAGGCATCTTTAGAAGTACTGCAAATATCCAAGATCCTCAGAGACCCTTCTAGCAGCTCGTCAACCAATATTTTGCAGCATCCTTGGGCCAAGGCTCGTTGTGTGGTAGGCAATTGAAGCATCTGAGTGGCGTAGCCATGCAAATCCTGCAAACCATTGAGCTGCTGGCTAATTGATGATGACGATGAAGTGGAATCAGAAGACTTCAATCTTTGCAAATGCTCTTCAATCTGTGATATCAGAGGATGAGGAGCAGAGGGCACACTGTTGGATCGATTGTGTTGAGAGGTCTTCATGCTTGCAGCCATGGGAAAAACCACAATTTTTCTCAGAGAAGAGTGAATATGTGAGACTGACACCATGGGATCCTGCAGCTGCCATATTCTCTATGTATATAGACACACAGAGAGAGAAAGCAAAGTAGCTGTGGAAGACAAAAGGAATATATTCTTATTCAATTGTCTGATAATTGGCTTACAATGCCATCTTGATTGGGATTTTTGGGTTACCATGCATGAATCTCAGGCTAAAGAAATTTCTAACATGAGAATTGGAAACTCACATATGGTGTGGGTTGAGGAGGCAGAAAATCATATGCAGATAGCATGGCTGCTTGGGATCTCTTCTACATGATTTCTTTTTTCTATTTCCCACTCTGTTTAGGATAACATGTTGACTTCCTAAGGTTTGCTTATCTACCTGGGAATCTCATATTTAAATATTAAGTTTGGAAACAATTGTTGATATCTGGAATCTCATGTCTGAATAATGTTCCCAAACCCCAAATAACACATACTATTTATTAATTCATCAGATGGTAATGGTGAGGGACAGCAAATTTGTGCTCGAAAGAACCAAAAAAGCAGTCACCAACCCTTCTCTCATGTACTGGAAAACAATTGACAGCCAATCAGAAACTCTGGTTATCAGCTTCCTTTTGGTGGCATGAAGTTGATTTGCTTGTAAGATGCTTTCCATTTTGTTGCTACACTGCTGGGTGATGTCATAATAGCGCAGAGACTTGAGACATCAGGATTGTGAATTTAGTGTGTTGAAGTTAAAATATGCCGGAACCACTTAACATTTTTTTTTTTTTTGGGGGGGGGGTGTGGGAACTTTACAAGAAAAGTACGTAAAATTTATTAATCTATCTTTGACATGGACAGAACTGTCGAAGATGGAATTGAGACTAGTGTCACTATTCTCATTTATAAAGCTTTATTAACTCTAACGAAGATTAAAATATAGGTAAAATTAACTAAATATGAAACTTTATCTTAACTTTTCAAATTTATCCTTAATCAACAAGGGCGTTTTAGAAAATCGACAGTAGAAGCCAAAATGACGAACGAATGTTGATCATCGAAGTGTTTTCAAAAGCATTAAAAGCAGTTTTTCCAGTGTACAAGTTCACTTTTGGATTTCATTTTTCATGACTTTCACCATCAACTTCGCCTCATATTACTAATGGCACCCGAAATATTAGCCAAACACCGAACCAACACTAACGGAGAGCCAAACACCGGACCAATACTAACTCAGACATTACTAACAACTAACAACTAACAACTTTACAAGTTTCTTAATAGATATAAATAGAACTTTTAAAGCTGGAGAAGTTTTGTTAACATCGCGAGTGAGGATTGAACGAAGTTAAGTGAACGTAGCAGAAACCATCAAGGCTTGGTTGCTAGCTAGACTGGCTCTCGCTTCAAAAGTGAGGAGACTTGCTTGATTTTTTTTGTTTCAAAAAAATTGTTTTTAAAAATAGAGAAATAAAAAGAAAACATTACGAATAAAGACTCCTAATATATAAAATTGTAATTTGAGACCTTAAATTTGAAAAATAGCAAATAAGAACTGGGTCCCACTTTTGCAAATATGAAATATGAGTAAAATGTCTAAAATGCCCTGCACTCAAATTGTGATTTAATCTATTGAAATTATCATTCATTAAAGTAAACTTGTCATTTTTCATAATTAACTCGTCATTTGGCATACCCTCAGTTATAGCCAACTTGTTATTTGACTCGGACATTTCATTATGATTTCATATTTGTAAAATAAAACCGAGTCCTTATTTGCTATTTTTCAAATTCAAAATCCCAAATCGCAATTTACATAACAAAAGGTCTTTATTTGAATTTTTTCCAATAAAAACACCTATCTAGTAATTTATTTTTAATTGATTGTTTTTTTCAAAAAAAATATTTTTAAAAACTTAAAAATCAAAATCAGCTGTACATCTCTTCTTGGTTTTGTTTTAAAAAATCTTTTTTCTTCTCCCTATTATCCACCACTTATTACTATTAGGGACAACTATTACGTGCCAAGCATGATTTTCTGAGTTTTTTTTTTCAAACATGATTCTTTAAAATTATTGTCCAAACAAATTCTTTTGTCCAAAACTTGTTCTAAGAAAGAAACAATTTTATAAAATTGTTCTAAGAACAAAGGAAAAAAAAACAAACAAACAGGCCCATAATATTGGGGAGCGAACAAAAATTGCGAAATAGAATCGAGTGGATGATGATACTATGATGGTACAGTCATCAATCAAATATCGTTACCAAGGAGAAATAAAACCTTATCATTAACGCATAAATTTAAACAGTCGACAATAGTCCTGAGATGCAATATAGCAAGAGCAAGTGTCATTAACCAGGGGAAAAAAGGAACAAGAATACAGCCAAAACCGCCAGCACTACATATCCTATGACCAAAAGCATTTAAGTGTTTGTAGCCCTAGTGTAGATCTGCTGACTTGCGTGTGCAGATACCATCCTGATTGAGCCTCTAGCCATCAATTCTCTAATGGCCTTCCTTGCTAGTGATCCATTGATCTGAAATATTCGTGCAAAAAATGAGGGATGGCTCAAATATTATATCACTAGTAGTCATCACTGGCTAATCATTCATCACAGGAAGCAATAATGAGATGCAGATTATACGTCATGTAATCACTTGGCTTTCCCATGGTTCCTGGGCTTCTGCTTACAAGCATTTTCCATACGTGCATGATTATAGGAAGCGAAGGATTTTATTTGCTTTGCAAAACAAAGACAATAGCGTTTGTTGTAGCAATCACAGCTTGTCTTGGAGCATGAAAAGGAGAAAGTCCCCGGAAATGAACAATGGCAATTAATAAACAAAAGACCGCACGAATGTTCGAAACATAATCAATGAAGTAAGAAGCAAGAGCACATTTCAAGTTTCAGAGCTTACCCAAAACAACTTTTAAGAATGTAAAATGCAAACCAAAGTAGAAGAGCATAGACACGCAGATAAGAAAGAAATTCTACATTACTAATCACACAAACCCTACGTCGGGGGGAAAAAGAAAACATATAAGCGGTCTCTAAAATCTACAATGCACAGTATGCTACAACTGAGTCCACGAGATCAATCTGTGTGTCAAGCAACCTGGTCAGAGTATTCTCAAATACTAACTCTTCAGCCTAACGTTGTCCATTTCATCCTCAACATGAAAACAGCTCCTTTACTCCTACACCCCCTGGGGGGGGGGGGGGGAGCACTTGCCATTATCAGAAAGTTAGAATGACCGTTTTTTAAATGATTAGCTGATCCAACCTCATAAAACTAAATCTTATTGGTAAGTTAAGAGAGAAATATACATAGAAGAATTCCACAAGCAATAATTAATCAAATCAAGCACAATTCGACGAAATCTGCAGAATTATTGAAGATGTGCAGCAGCCGACATCAATAGACCGTCAACGCAATCTTATAAGACGAGCTAAACCGCGTGAGAATGGATTGCGTCTCAAATAACACCAATAACCATCAGAATGAAAAATGGAGCATGTAATTAAAAATGTAATTAAAAAAGAGGCGAAGCAATAAGAGGTACCCTCAAACGATCAGAGAGAATGGAAGGTGTGATGAGCTTGTATTTTGGTGCCTCAGACAAGAGCTTGTCATAGGTGCCCTGATCGAAGAGCACCATGTTATTTACCTTCTCCTTCTGCTTTCCCTTGCTCCACTTCTGATAAACACAAAATTCAACTAAGTATCGCATAACCATCTGACATATAACTCTAATCAACAGAAAACTAAACTCTAATACTGATTAAAGATGACGAAGACAAAGCTAGACGCACCCCACTACCCGGATTGAAAACTGCCCTTGTAAGAAGATTATTCGGAATAAAAGAAATTAAAATTAACAACAAAATTTGAGAACCTTCTTCTTCTGCTTGCCACCGCCAGACTTGGCAGGTTTCGAGGAAGGAGCAGGACCCTTGTCCTTCTTGGGAGCCTGGAAACAATAACGAAGAAAACCATCAGAGACAGCGGAAGAACCACAGAATCATGATATTAACAGAGAGTCACACATAGGAGAGAAAAAGCTAATAGACATCTCAAGAGAGTAGTCGATTCACACCATTGATCAGTTCTCAGAGAGTGCGATCTCCGATTCGGCAGAAGCCCAAGCAGCAGAAGCAAATGGAGGCGAAGCGAGTGTGACCTAGGGTTTTTATTTTATACCGGGACGATGCGTAGTGAACCCTACGACGTCGTTTCCATTTGCAAATTTTTCCAGGTAAGTGAGAAGCCCATTGGGTTGCGTTAAAAAAAGCCCATTATGTTTTATTGCAAAATTTCTCTTCTTGGGGTGGCTTTGGATACGATCGTTCCGATTCCCGAAGGGCAAACTCAAGTATGGGCCACTTGGGCTTTGACCCTCTTAGAATCCATTTGAAAAAGAAGACAAAAGCCACTTGCAATAAAGAAGGAATGGGCCCCAAGTAGCCCCAAAAAATCCCAAAAATGTATAATAGAATCTGGGAATTAAAAAATGCTGCAAAAAAAAAAAAACAACAAACAACAACAGCGCTGGGTCCAAAGAAAAGGTTAGTCCTTTATAGCATGAGAATCAGATTATAGAATCCCACTAGAAAAGGTGTTCACATTTAATACCTGATAGTGCCTTGAATAGGATTACATCCAATAGAAGGATAAAATATTTAACCCAAAAAATGTGTAGAGAGAGAGAGAAGGGAACTTTCAATTAAAAAAATATATTTAAAAAATATAGGTAATAAAATTTTGATCTTTCAAATTTGTTATTATTTTGATTTTAGTTCCTCAAGTTTCTTTTTATTCAAAATATTGGTTCATATAATCCAATAAATTTGGACTATTTTGCCTCTTAAAGAACTAAAACTTATTATTTGAAAATATGAGATTCATAACAAAATAAGTACAAATTTGAGGGATTAAAATCATATTAACCCTAAAAAATTCGAAGCCGAAAGTTTATTATAATACTATATGGTTCTGCCTAATTGGTGAGGGTATTTTGGAAGTAGAACTGTAACTCACTCACCATTTACAAAAGTGAACCCACCCGTTGGCCTTTTGGAATATATGTTTAGTAATTAAGAAACTAGGAAGAAAGAAACAAAAAGAAAGGGAAAAAGTAAAACACAAATGAAGGAGGAGAGGAAATCAGTGCGCTTCACATTTTTCATCGAGCAAGCAAATAATAACTTGGAACATTATTGTTCATGTGTTATAACAACTCGCATATTAGAGAGGGCTTTATAATTCAAATGATATAAAATGTCTCATTTACAATATTTTTAAATATGAAGATCTGAATTTGAACTCTTTATAAAAAAAAAATATAACAAATGATGAGC